CTATTGATGTTTAACCCACTATTCCATGGTGTCTCATCCATCACACAGCACATCCCACAGCAAAGTCTCACCTGTCTCCAGAAGAAATCACAATCCTTCACGGATCCATTAGCTTCTCCAGTCACTCCATTCAACCCTAAAAGAGGAAAAACATCACACAGAAACCGAGTCCCACACAGTGATGGAGGAACAACTGGGGCATGATCCTGCCTTGGAGCGTCACGGATGATGTGGTTGATTTTCTTCTTTCTTTTTTTAACCCAATCTCTGGGGAATCTCAATTCCATTCAACACATTCCAACAATCCCTGCTGCTTGGCTCTGCCCATGCCAGCCTTTCCAAGGAGACCAGAACAGTTGGCCCAACTCTTTTTCGGGATTTAAGCAGAGAATCGCGGCTGTTTCTCATGCCCAGCTTTCACTCATCCCCTGGAAGTCAAGAGTGACTGAGAGGAGGCCAAGTTCCTCTGGATTTACAACAATGCCTCTGGGAACGGAATTCTGCCCCAAATACCATGGATGAGGCTGACATCAGCTCAGAGCTCACACCAGGATCCAACACTTCTCTTGGGATAAAACAGGATAAACAGGACCAGTGACCTCACCTCACCTCTCGTCCCTCCCCACACAGTCTGAGCCAACGTGAGACGGCTGCTGGTCCTGTGTCATGGGATCTTGGAATATCGAGGGTTGAAAGGAATCCACAGTGACCATCAAGTCCAACTCCTGGCCCTGCACAGGACACCCCAAAAGTCACCTGAATGCATTATCAGCTGAACAACAACTCTACATCCTAACTCAGCAGCATTTTGGGGGTTCCTGGACTGGTGCTGTCTATTTTCACGAATCCTTGTGGAATCTCACTTTTTGGGGATGACTCTTTCTAAGAATAGCCACCAGGAACAGGCTGGACACACAAATCTGGCCTTAATCTACACTAATTGGGGTGTTTTAACATGTTGTCCCAAGGTCTGGTGACAAGATAATAAAGTCCTCACCTTGTCCGACACGTCTGCATCCCCCATCCTGTCCCTTCCCCCAGAGGGCTAATCTGGTCAGGATAAAGGATCAAAAGGAGAAACAATTAGCAAATGGAAGAATTTAATGATGCTAATTAAAATGTATTAAGTGTAGCCACTGCCTCTGCACCAGCTGCTTTGGCAGGAGCCCTGAGCATGCGGAGCGGGAGAACAGGACATCTGGTGCACTCTCCCCCCGGCCCCCGAAAAAGAGGTCTGAGGAAACCTCGGTGTTCGTAGTGGAGCCCTTAATTAGCTTCATCTCTGCAGGAGACCCCTGGGACCTCATTAGGCTTTTCAATTAGTGCCTGGCCAGCCGGAGCAGGGGGCCGAGGGAGGGGGGAGGTGGCTGCAATTAAGCAATTGGGAGGAGGTGAAAGAAGTAACCCCACGTCCAAAAACCGGCCGGGAAAGCTCCAAGCTGGCCCCCAGATGCTCCCGCGCCCAGGGCCAGCACTCCCAGGAGTTTGCTCCCAATGAGCCCTTAACGAGGTGTTCGCCAGCTCCTGGCAATAAACCCCACAAGGGCTGCAGCCTGGGAGGTTCAGCTCTCAAAGGTTTGAAACCTTCTCATGGAATCAGGGAGTGGTTTGGATTGGGAGGGACCTTAAAAACCACCCAGTCCCACCCCTCTGCCACTGGCACGGACACCTTCCCCTAGACCAGATTGCTCCAAGGCCTGTCCAGTCTGGCCTTGAACACTTCCAGGGATGGGGCAGCCAGTTCCACCCCAAGCACAGCTCTGTGGTAATTCCTCATCCGGACCATCCCCAGCCAGCAGACACCAGGCAATTCCCGAGCTTTGTTTCCCTCTGGAAACAGGCAGCAATGATGGTGAACGTGATTTACCAAGGATGCAGCTGCTCATTTCCAGCCCCAGCTCCATCATTCCCACGGCTGCTCCCAGCTCTCCTGCCTGGCCGTGCCTCCACGGAGACACCACGGGAACCCTGTCCCCTCTTCCAGCTGTTTCGTGCCTCTCACTAAGGCAGGATCCAGCTGTCCTACGTCTGCACAACACGCTACCCCTTCCCTCTGCTCCCAACACTCTGTGGGACATCATTCCCTCCCTGACCTTTTCCTCTTCCCTGGATGTGGTTGGGATGCACCTCATGAAGAAACAGTGGCAGCAGCAGCACCTCATTTCTCATGGGAAAAACTGGGACCTCTGGCTGTAAAACTGTGGGGCTTTGGTGCAAGTTTGAAAAGTGAAATCTTGTAACTGGAAAATCATGGAGTCACGGAATGGTTTGGGTTGGAAAGGACCTTACAGATCACCCAATTCCACCCCTCTGCCATGAGCAGGGACACCTTCCATTATCCCAGGTTGCTCCAAGCCCTGTCCAACCTGGTCTTGGACACTTCCAGGGATCCAGGGGCAGCCACAGCTTCTCTGGGCAACCTGTGCCAGGGCCTCCCCACCCTTGTGGGGAAAAATTTCCTCCCAATATCCCATCTAACCCTGCCTTCTGTCAGTGGGAATCCATTCCCCCTTGTCCTGTCCCTCCATCCCTTGTCCCAAGTCCCTCTCCAGCTCTCTTGGAGCCCCTTTAGTTACTTCCAGGGAGCCAAACACTGCTGGGGAGCATCCTAAGACTCCAACACCCCAGGCTGACCAGCTCCATTTCACCTTCCAGCTCTAAGGACAAGTTAAATCATGGAAAACATCATCAAAAACTTGTCCAAAACAGAGCAGTGGGGCTACCAGACCTTCTTGTCACATCATCCCAAATGAAAACACACTGGATATCCAGTTTTTGTCTGCAACAAAGACAAACCCCAAAGTTTTCCTCTTCTAGAATCATGGAATGGTTTAGGTTGGAAGAGACCTTAAAGACAAGTTTGTTCCAATCCCCTGCCATGGGCAGAGACACCTCCTGTAGAAGCACCTCCCAGTGGACAAATAAAACCCGGAAAGACCCATTTTCCATGGAAAGCCACTCTGAATTCAGCATTTTCATCCAGCTGTATTGCTGCAGGCGTAATGGATGTATTGATCCTATGATCCGTTCAACCATGACAGATCCAGCGGGTCCACCCAAGACTGGAGCAACACATCACCAATCTCACCCTCTCTCCCAGGAGCAGTGAGGCCAGCAGGGTTTGGTGACTAGTTTCTTCTCTGGCAGGGATAATCCCATCCCGTCTCAGCTCTGGAGCACCGCAAACGCACTGGAACAGATGTTCCTTTTCCGTATGGGAAAACGCTGAGTAAAACAAAGGAATATTCTCCTGCTGAAGCCTAACATCTGTTTGAAGCTGTCTGGCTCCGGTTCAGATTTAATTCTTGTGACAGGTCTCTTCATGCCTTTAATTTCCCATGAAATCCAATTCAAGGAGCTGTTTGTCCACAGCCCGCTCCCAGTGTCGGGGAGAGCAAGGCCACATGCCATCCAGGCGTTCCTCGCCCCAAACCACTTTCTTGGAACACTTTCTCTGAAAAAAGCTCCATTTTGGCTCTTTTCAAGCGATGGCCACACACGTTTTGGGTGACACCCTAATCCCCTCCACCCCGGCGCTCGCATGACCATGCGACACGTGGCCGGTCCTCCTGGGTGCTCCTGCAGAGGAATGGAGCTCCTTCCCAGAATCTGCACTTTTTTTTTCTTTGAAAGAAGGAAGTTTAAATAATTTGGAGTGTGGAATGGAAATACCTCCCAGATTTGGGGTTATCTTGGGTGTGACAATGGCAGTCGTGCTCCGGGCACTGGGAGGATTTGGTGGTGGTGGCGCCAAGCAGCTGCATGAGCTGCACTCGCTGCTCGCAGCTCCCAACTAGCCAGGACCCCTGGGAACAATGATTTTGGGAGCTCTAGGATGCTCCAACCTGGGAATTTCTGCTGTCCAGATGATGGTCCTGCACTGGATGGAGAAGCCATGCTCCTGCTGCAGGTCCCACTGCTGTTTGCAGAAGGCATCAGGAGCTTTCACAAGGTTTTGGGAGCTGGCGTTGGCTCCAGATGTGTCCCTGGGCCTCAGCCAAGGGTCCCTCAGCTGGGGGCACAGGTCACGTGCAAGTTTTTGGTAGTTCTGCCCAGCTCTGATATGAAAATCCTCAAATCCAGGTGTCATCTGCTGGAGTTATACATGCCGATGTCGTGTTCATCCAGAAAACACAGATGCATCTTCCATAAGGACACCAAGATGGTCCCTTTCCCCTCTACCTGCTGCTGCTCCAGTTCCCCAAAAATACTTCCCCGGTGGCTTCTCAGCGCTGGAAAGGGAAATGTCAAAACAGGAGTGAAAAACATCACTGATCCCCAAAGGAGCTGAAGCTCCACCAGACCCAGCAGCTGCAGGATGGGCTCACCTGTCACCAGCGGTCAGGATGTCACCACCGCCACAGCCAGGAGCTGGGGGACACCATGGTCCCCAAAATGCAGGAGGGGTGTGGATAGAGAGGGTCCTGGGATATGGGAACTGGGAGGGAAATTCAGAAAGGGAATGGAACAGGACTAGGAACCCCACAAATCAGCTCTGGATGGGCGCAGCTTGGAGTCAATCTGAAACAGAAACAAAATTGTGAGTTCCAGGGGGAAAACTGAGGTTTTTTTCCTGTTAAAACACAGGAAGAGGGAGGAGTCCTGATGGGCCCAAACATTGAACTGATTGAGGACTTCAGGTGAGTTGAAAATCCATTGGGTTGGTTTTGTGCTGGTCCTTTTTCATCCCAATCTTTTCATCCCTGGTTTGGAAGAAGCAGGCACGGAGCATCCAGTGCACACCAGTAACTCCCACTTCCCACCTTCTTAAGCACCTCCTAAACTGGGTCACCCAATCCCCCACATCATGCTGCCTGGATCGCTCCAGCACCCCAAACTGGACACTCCAAAATCATCATGTGCCCATTGACAGAGGTGTTCAGGGGATGCTGGACCTCTGCAGTGGGACTGGAGGCCCATCCTTTCCCAGGAAGGAGGCGATGCACAAGGAGCGAGCCCTTCCCGCACGGACCACGCTCACGCAGTGAGTTGCAGCTGTAGTTTTATTTCCTTTTGTGAAAAATAACAGGATTTCGAGGTGATAAAAACACAACCCCCCCAGGGCTCAGCCCCAGACCCTGCCCACCCCGGCACGACCGCAGGCAGAAGCAGCACCGATGGAGCAGCACCCCCAGGACAGGATCCAGCTCCTTGCCAGGACAGAGCGAAGGTGGGAGCCGGGGATGAGAGCAGAGCCACAGGATGGGAGGGTTCAGGAGCAGGTAGAGGCATTCCTGCTCTTGGATCCAGGACGGAATGCCAGCTCCAGCACAGCACTCATCGTGTTCAGTGCTGGCATCACCGTGCCAGTGCCATCCCTGTGCCCCACAGCAGCAACGGGCAATTGGCTCATCCCACGGAGATTCCCATCGTCGGCAGCTTGTGGAGGGTCTATTTAATTTTTTTTTCCTTTTTTTCCATTTTTTTAATAAAAACAGTCTTTAGGTCGACTGCTGGCAGCAGCTCTGAGTAGAAAGCACCTTCCTCCAGAGTCTGCTTCCAAAAAGTTCAGAAAGGGTCAAATATTGACCAATAATGGTTTTGGCTGCATTTGAATCTTGATTGTGGCTTCTGCAATGTACAGCGGGGAAGGGACGGGTGAAGGGGATGAGGGGGGATGAGGTTTTTCCCTTAGTCAGCAGGTTTGGTGACGAGGGAAAGGGGCTGCGTCTGCAGCACGGCCAAGGCAGCCGGGATAGAGGCAGAGGGCGAGGAGAGGAGAGCCGTGGGGGGCACTGAGGGGAAGGGGATGGGTCTGGAAAGGAGCGAGGGTGGGCCGCTGAGGCTGGAGGAGGAGGAGGAGGAGGAGGAGGAGGAGGAGGAGGAAGAGGAGGAGGCTTTGCTGGAGAGGACGGTGGAATGCACAGCGAGCTGAGCCCTGGCCTCTGGCTTGGTGGTGAGCGAGAGCGGCTGGGCCTGTTCCGAGTGGGTGGGGGCCGGCGCGGCGGGCGAGGCCAGCGCGGCCGAGGGTGTGGCGGGCGAGTCCAGCATGCTGCCATGGGACGAGGCCGGGCTGGCACACGGCTTCTCAGGTGGCAGGTATGGCACGCACGGCTTCTTGCTCTTGGAGGGCAGGGAGCCTGGGGAGGGTGGGCACAGCGTGAGTGGCCGGAGCCCGGCGCAGGGGGAGGCGGGGGGAGGGGTACTCACTGTCCGTGTCGTGGCTCTGCTGCTGCACCAGCTTCTCGCGCTTCCGCTTCTTTTTCTTGCCCTAGAAAAGATGATTTTGGGTTCTTCCATGGCTTTTGGCTGCCCATGATGGGAAACTGGGGCTGACGCTGCCCCAGAGCATCCGCGGAGACTTGGCGTCGTCACCAGCCGCCCCTAACACCTCAAACACCGACCCCAGAGCACGGCCAGCCCTCCCCTGCCAACCAAACCCCGGGAGAGGGGCCCTCTCGGGGGGGGGGGGTGGGACCGCGGGAGACACACGTACGTAGTTGTCCCGCGCCGACCAGGTCGGGTAGAGCTGCGAGTGCAGCTGCCGCTCCTTCCGCGCCAGCTCGTAGTACTTGGCCTGTTCCTCCCGCGACAGCGAGTGCCACTGCAGGGAGAGACCACGCTGGAGACCCCAGAGCCACGCCGGGAACCCCAAAGCCATTCTGGAAACCCCCAGATCCCCACTGGAGACCCCAGAGCCATGCTGGAAACCTCAAATTCACACTGAAGACAACAAATACATGCTGGGAAGCCCAGAACTATGCTGGAGACCTCAAAGCCACACTGGAAACCTCAGAGACAAGATGGAAATTCCAAACCCAGGCTGGAATCTCCAGATCCATGCTGCTGACCCTGAGGACCTACTGTCCTGGGCTGCAGAGGTCCATCCCTCCCCATCCCTCCCCATGCCTGACACCTCCCTGGGACTCCCTGGGCTGGCAGAGCCCCAGGTCAAGGGATGGATCCGTGGGGAGAAGCGGAGCTGGGCTGTCTGGAGGGTCCCTGACGGGAGGATCCCAACCATACCCGCCGGCCCAGGATCTGGTTGATGGCAGCGCTCTCCTTCAGCGTGCACTCAGCCACCACCTTGGCCCTCATCTCCTTCATGTACAGCATGAAGGCGTTGAGCGGCTTCTTGATGTGGGGCTTCTTCTCCTCCTCCTTCTTCACTGCCACAGGGGATTTCCTGGAAGGAGCAGGATGGGGGGTCAGGACCCCCAGGACGAGCCCCTGTCCCCACAGTTGGCCCGGCCTCCACTCACGAGCTGCCTCCAGGGCTGGCGCTGGGCTGGGTGGGCTCCTGCTTGACGATGGGTGAGACAATGGTGGGGTGTGGGATGCCCGAGGGGTGCAGCCCGTGGGTGGGCGGTGGGACCATGTGTGGGGAGAAGCGGCTGGACATCAAACTGCAGTGGAGAGAGAGAACAGGAGGGGTGGTCACCTCCCCACAGGCACCCACAGACTCCCCCTGAGAACCTCCTGGGCTGAGAGACCACCAGCCTCAAGCCAGTTAAGTTAGAAACCCCAAAACCGTGCTGGAACTCCAAATCCGTGCTTCAAACTCCGAAATCAACCCTGGAAACCACAAATCCACTCTGCAAACCCCAAATCCATGCTGCAATCCCCAAAGCCATGCTGGAGACCCCAAATCCACCCTGGAGACCCCAAATCCTGCCCCAGCTTTGAGATGGGGACACAAACCCAACCAGCGATGCCCTGAGCCCATGGGATGTCACATTCCTCCACCTGTGGAGACCACCCGCTCCCTCCGGGGGGATCTTCACGCAAGTGGAACACCCCAATCTTCTTGGACTGGTCTGTGACTGTGCATTTTCTGCAGGGAAGTGTCCCAAAACTGACCACCAGCTCCGGGATGCCCGTGAGGGTCCCTCCCCTTTCGAAGACCCACCTGGACATGGAGGCATTCATGGCGAGGGCGGGATACGGGTGCCGGAAGCCACCGGGAGGGATGGAGTACACGGGCTGTCCTTGCCTGCAAAAACACAAGTTTCAGTGGAAAAAAGATCCCTTTGCAGTTCATGGGGATCCTTGGGCTGGTCTCCAGCTATCTCCATCTGAATGATTCCCAAATTTTCCAGTGGTGGGAAGCCCCTCCCTTCCCACCCCCCATGGGAGCCTGCGGCATCCTGCGGAACTCGCGGAGGAAACTGCGTAAAGTGGGAAGCAGAGGAGGGTCTCAGGGGGCTGTGGGCTCCTGGGATTCACAGGGACACGAAGCTGGAAGCGACCCCCTTGCCGGGGCCGGTCCATCCTTACTGTGGCACGAGCCAGCCCAGGGGGTGTGGGAGCTGCCCCACAGCTCCGGGGGACAGCGGGTAGTAGGGGGGCAGCTCGGGGGGGTGCGGCGGCCGCGGGATCCCTGTGGGGGAGAGAGGGGACAGAACGGGGGGTTAGAACAGGAGCATAGCAGCCTCGGGGCCCCCCACTGTCCTCCAGTACCATGTCTGCCTCCACCACCCTCCCTTTGAGCATCCCAGCTCCCACTGAGCACCTTGTCTGCCTCCAGCACCCTGTCTCCCTCCAAGCACCCTCCCTGTGAGCACCCATTTTCCTCCCAGCACCCCATCTCACTTTGAGCATCTGGTCTGCTGCCAAGCACCCCATCTACCTCAGAGCACCCCGTCTCCCTCCCAGCACCAGTCACCCCAGGCTGGGGAGAGGCTGCTGAGACACCCACAGCACAGCCCTTGGGGGGATCCCCACACTCCAGCTCAACCTGTCACCAGGTGAGGACCCATTCCCAACCCCCTCCCAGGGACCGGGCTGAGACCACCCAGGAGGCAGAGGGGCCACCCAAGGGAGAGCCCCCCATTCCCAGCACAGCACCTGCACCCTCACGTTCCCTTCGCTCCCCCAAACGTGTCCCCCCACTCTGTGCTCACCCGTCTTGGGGTCGATCTCCGGGGAGAGGTGGCCAGGCGGGGACCCCGGCGGGAAGGGGTCGTTGCTGTAGGTGATGAGCGGCGTCAGCGGGTGCATGTGATGGCCGTGCTGCACCACCGGGACCTTGTTGGACTGCGGGAAGAGCACGTGGCAGGGTGGGACAGCGGCCACCCCCCCAGGAACATCCCCCGGGCAGCAGTGCCGTGGCTGCCCCATCCCTGGGAGGGCTCCAGGCCAGGTAGGACAGTGCTTGGAGCAACCTGATCTAGTGGAAGGTGTCCCTGCCCAGGGCAGAGTGGTGTGACTGAGTGGTCTTTAAGGTCCCTTCCAACCCAAACCACTTCCTGATTCTATAATTCCAGGATCTTGGGGGGGTGCTGGGAATCCCCCACCCTGCAGGAAGGGGCTGTTCTTA